GAAACAGGTGTGTGAATATAAGTATTGGTTGAATGATATTAGCTTCATATCCAACAAGAATATTATAATTCTCCAGCAGAGAGTCCCATGAAACAGGTGTGTGAATATAAGTATTGGTTGAATGATATTAGTTTCATATCCAACAAGAATATTCTAATTATCAAGTAGAGAGACTCATGATTCAGGAGTGTTAATGTAAGTATTGGTTGAATGATATTAACATGTGAACCTGAATTTTCTTTCTTGGTTTTTAAGAGCTAGTATTGATCTAAATGTATAATTATCACTGTCATATACAACAGAGTTATTAGAGGTATAATGTCTTCTTTACTTGTATTTTTGGAAGAAGTAAAGTTTCTAATTTATATTTTTGATTAATCCCTACAATTTACTGTTTTTGGTATATTAATATATATATATTTTTTATTATATACTAATGTTTAAAGGTATCTTGTATAGAGCTTTTATCATTTCTGCATTAGTGCATAAAAGCTATATGTCGGAGAATATTTTATGATTTTCTTATATTATTCATTTATTCGGTTAAAACTCATCAAATGTTGAGAAATAAATTATGTTTATTCATTCAGAGTATCCAGTTACATATTTTTTTTTATAAATTCCATTAATTGCTACAAGAATATTGTAATTATCAAGTAGAGAGTCCCATGATACAGGTGTGTGAATATAAGTATTGGTTGAATGAGCCACTCATTGCCTTACTGAGTTTTAAATTGTTAACTTTTGAATATATAACTAAGAAACATAGATTATTGAAATAGACAATAAATGATGGTCAGAAGCTGAATGTAAAAAAAAGGCTTTTTTATCATAATAACTTATAAAAAATTGAGAGACATCTTAGGTGAGAATCTGCTAAATTAAACTTTAATATTAAAATAAAACACTCAAAGCCAGCCCTTATCATTCAAATGTTTATCAAGCCTTCCATTAAACTACCTTAAATTAGTTGCATTCCCCAAAGTTGAATGCAACCCATTCCAAAAGTCAAACAACCTGATAGAAAAATATAGTTGTCTCAGCTGAAGATGACTCTCAACCTGCCAAAATTTATACCTTACCTTTCTCACTATTAAATATAAAAAAATATGATGCATCAAAACTATCAATTCTCTTAACATTCTTAAAAACCTAACTAAGATCCCTTCTAATTTTTCTTTTTTCAAAACAATTTCAAAGCTCTTAAACTGTCTTTGGGAGCCCAAGACAAAACACAATGCCCCAAAGCTGGCTTAAAGTGACCTATACAATGAAATGTTAACTTCTTAAGACTTATATTCAGTATTTCTGAAGATGCAACCTAAAATTTCATGGATGGTTTAAGAGACTTATCAACACCAAGATATTTTTCTTTCATAACACTGTTAAGGTTATTCCCATCAAAATTATACTCATATTCAAATTGTGATATCCCACATGCATTTATTATAATTAAAACCAATTTGCCATTTATTTGCTTAACTCACTAAATGATCTAAATCCTCTTCACAGCTAGCAAAACCCAAAACCTTAATATCATCTGCAAATTTAAGTAATTTATTAACCATTCCTTCATCTGTGTCATTGATGAAAAATAAAAAGAACAAGATCCTAACAGTAAGCCCTGAGATGCTACATTTGTAACATTAACCCAGTTTGACAGAACTCCATTTATATTGATCCTCTGCTTTCTTCCATTCTGCAAGCTTTCTATCCAATGAGCCAACCTATCTCCCACAACTACAGAGATAATTTTTTAACTAATCTTTTATGTGGCACCTTGTCAAATGCTTTCTGAAAATCCAGATTCACCAAATTCATGCCTGCACCCTCATATACATAAGCAGTAACCTCTTCAAAGAATGTCCGTGGTTCCTTTAAGGTGCCTTATGATTTCTCCCTTTTTTTGGCCTTCTTGGATCCTCAATTCCTGAATTACCTACTGTCTGGCTGGGTGTTGACTCTCTGTCTCCAATATCCCTTACCGGGGTTCATTTCTGAGGATCTCCTGTCTTCACATTCTCCTTGCTTTTTCCTTTTGATATATATTTTATTATTATTTCCTCTCTGAGGCACTCCACTGGGATCTAGATTGTTTTTCTGGGGTATCTTTGGTTGGTCTTTTTCCCTACTTAGGCCAGAGATTCGTCATTGGCTCTCTGTCTCCTCAACTGTTTTTATGTAATTGAGATATATTAAAACACAACATACTTTTTTCTGTCATGTATCTTCCTAAATCCTCCCTACCTAACTTGTATCTCCCTCCACTCATCTGCCACAAGATCTTTGGGGGTATTTCTCTCACCTTTCAGTCTTGGGCAGAAGCTGTTTACCCTCAATTTTCTCTCACTTCTTTACTCTCCAGCCTTTCTCATTTCTGTGCATCCCCTCATGTCCCTTGGCCTGTGTACCCTCATTCTCTCTCACATCTCCTCTTCCCATCCTCCCAGTGACTACCTCTCTTTGTATCTGGTTAGTTTGATCCTTTTCTTCCTTCCTGATCCATGGACTCACTTCACAGCCAACCACTGGGCCACTCAGGTTCTTACCCACTTTCTCTCTCCACTTCACCTTTCCCTTGTGTTTTTCCTCCACCTTCCAATTCTCAGTACTTCCATTGTCTTGAAGACAGAGTGTCGAAGCTCTTGGTTTTGAATATCACAAAGAGATTCACTTGCCCCACTCTGGGTTACTATTCCCATATTTTCATTGTCCTCATGAATACTAGGAACTAACATCCCCACATTGTACTTCTTCTCTAAATCCCTTCTGATGATTCCCCAGTTTCAGATGAAGAGGTTTCTTCCTCTTAATAGGTTGTTTTCGACTGGCCTTTGGATGAAGATGGTTCATGTTTTGTATGCATTTCTTCATATTATAGTAGCCTTGTCATCATGAGTTTTCTTTGGTTTTGGGCTCTACCCATTGACATGGCTTTTACTCTTTATGTCTTCAGATATGTCATTAGAGCTTTCTCTCACCATATCCACAGTCTCGGCTTTTATTTTCATTCCTTTCTTGACACTTAACTTCTTTTTGTTTCTTTTCAATAGATCTCTACTACAGCCACACCTCTTCTCCTATGAGAGGCTATTCCTCTTGAAGTTTTATTTTATTTGATACACCTAAAGGTCCCTTTCTCTTTGCACCTCATTCACGTTCATTTTCCTTCATTTACCCGTGAGCCTTGCAGTGTCTGGTTACCTCAGCTCTATTAGTCCCCAATCCCTCATCTGGTTGCTGTGAACACCTTTAGCTTGTATTCTCTTCTTTCCTGTGTGTGTGTTTCCTGCTTTCACCTTCTTATACATATCTTGATGACACTCCTTATCCTTTTGTGTTGGTGGCACCTTATTGTTCAGCTCTGTCTTGATCTTCTTTTCTCCACCAACTGGCATCTTAGGTAACTCTTCTTCCATTATCAAGGTTCATCTTTCTCCAACCTTCTACACTACTCTTTCATCTGAGAATGTCATCTTTGCACATGGGATTGGCCTTACTCAATGATCAGTTTCTCATATTAATCCTTCTTTTGTACTGCTTGATTCATCCTTTTACTTTCCCCAAAACAAGTGGCATTTTTATTGCCACTGGTCTATCAGACACTCTCTGGCTCTAGGCCATCTTTTTGCCTGTCATTTAGACTTCTTTATCAGGATATTTGAAACAGAGTTTGTTGGTCTAGACCATGGTGGAACATCATGCAGCCTTGTCACCCATCTTTCATCTTTCTTGACATAGCTTCGTCTTTCCTTCCTTCCCTCTTCTTTCTCGTCTGGTTGATTTACCTGATTGGGACTTTCTTCTGGTTCTTTACATTCTCACCAAGATCCTGTTTGAACCCTTGGACTTACAAGAGCAAGATCCACTGCTTTGAACAACATTATGAAAATAAAGATTAAACAAGAAGGTATTTATTCTAAGTTGTAGGTTAGGTACTGTAAATTCAGTACCAAAAGCATTTTCAAATATGTTTTTATTTATATTTTAGGCCTTCTACCATTTCAGCTAATGTCAGTTGAATGACTTTTCAGAAGCTTTATATGATTCCTCATGTTGGTTGCTTAATTTATAAGTTTTATTGAAAACAGCAGTAAGAAGCACAATTAAGTCATTATTAGATGTAATATTTATAGAACTACTGACTGTAAGCAGTAAAGAAAATGACCTGAATTGAACTGTCTGTCATGATAGCAGATCATGGTACACTGTGCATTTCAGAAACTGGGAATTTTTTTAAATGGTTTAAAACTGTAAGACTTATTTTAAATTAATTTATTGCTGAGTAAAATATATAACTAATATTTTAAAAAGTTCATTTCAAGGCCTTGTCACTGAAATATATAGTGAAATTTAGAATGCAGAAGAATTCATAAAGTCTGGAATATATATTAAAGTTATATCTATGATATTTGTTACAATCTTTGGTACCAATTTATATGAAATTTAAAAAATCAAAGCCAGCATTAAATATTTTTTTTCTTGAATAAATTTTAAAATTGTTGAATTAATATAGGTACTTTCAAGTTTTGTATATGAATTGGTTCTTGTTATTTAGAGACATATGAATTTGAAGTTACACTAATGGTAACGGGTGTTAATGCACTGAAAAAATACTTAAATTATCAGTACTTAAGCATTTTAAGTTACTAGCTTCCCTGTATAGCCACTGAATTGGAGCAATTCTTTTTTAAGATGTGGAAAATCCACTAGTGCATTACAGAAGATAAGGAAGTATGATAATGTTCATTTTTGTGTGGGTTTGACTGGTAAATGTTGAATTTGTATGTATTATGAGTTTATTAACTTTTTTTTAATCATTTCATTTTTAGTTGTTTCGATGCAAATGTGAATTGTATTTATATGATTTTTTCCCCTTAGCTGAAGCTGTAACTCTCTCCACTTCAAGTAATGAAACCTTCCCTGTGATGGCTGCTTCTAATACTCTTGTGGATGAATCCGGAGGTGGGTAACCTGGATGTAGTTGGGCATAGGTCAAAACGTCACTTAAGTTCTTTTACATCATTGAATGTTGTTATTTAGTAATTATTTTTGTAGGACCTTTTTAAAATCAAATTGTATTCTTTCAGCCTTATCTTAAACCTTAAAACATCCAAAGATACTGTAAGTACAGGAGAAAGGTAATTTTAATTATGAACTAAAATTGTATTTTTTCTTAGGATAACAGCTAGTTTTTATAATTGTGTATAACATTTTCCACAACTTATTACCAACTGAAATGTATGCTTATATCTAAAACTACCATGTGAGCTTTCCCTAGTTTGGAAAGATTGACCAATAAAGACATGTATAAATATCTGTTGTTCTTTTGATGACACTTAGAAAGAGAGAGAAAAATGCTTCATAATTTGGTATCTGATTTTGTTTTATAATAGGACTTTAAATGCATGGTTAGTTCTATGATTAAGGGAGGATAACTTATTTCACATCTTAAAGGAAAGGAAATTATAAAAACAAAATAATGAGATGATAAAAACTGTAGTGTTATTTAAAATTTTAAAAATTTGTTAACACGAAGAAGGACTTAAAGATCACACATTAAAATTAAACAAATTTGTTAACACACAAAGAAAGACTTAAAGACCACACATTAAAATTATATAAATTTGTTAACATGCATAGAAAGACTTAGACCACACATTAAAATAAGATAAACTTAGTTAGTACAATTATCAAGTTAAGACTTAATTATCAAGTAAGACTTAAAGATCATACAAAAAAATTAAATAAATTTGTTAACACAAAGAAAGACTTAAAGACCACACATTAAAATTATATAAATTTGTTAACATACACAAAGAAAGACTTAAAGACCACACATTAAAATTAGATGAAGTT